TTTCACATTTCTGGGGGTCAGGATTTCAAAATTAAAGGGCGCTGCGCTGCACTCGCACCAATTTGTACACCCCACAAAAAACCTGAGAATGAACACATTTTTCTTTCCAAATCAGCTTTAGAATAGCAAACAACCGTGTATTTGAAATCCCAACAGATTTTGGTAAAGCTTTCTTAACCAGTAGATAAAAAGATTTCATCCCCTATTAACTGACAAACCTCTCGGTGGCGAAATTCGTCCACCCACAACGGGGGCACCACTAGACAAGTCACGTGACTTCGCAAGTATAGCAGCAATACGGGCTTTGCGCTCATCAATTTCACGCTGCTCTTGCTCACGGCGAAGTCGGTGAGCTTGTGTGCTTATCTATAACAGGAGAAAAAAGTACAAATAGAAAAGGAAAAGGTTCCAAAAAGCCTTACTAGGAAATCATTGGGCGGTGTTGGCACCTTCCTCAATAGGGATCCGTCCCCTTCCTTTGACGGGACGGTACCAGGGAGATCAGCAGCTATTTCTGGATGAGCTTGATGCTCTATCCCATTTGTGCGCACATGATTGGTGATATTTTCTTTATGTACAGGTTCCGCTGTGATCTGAATGAACTAGTCGCATAAAACAGTGCATTTTATCAACTGCTAAAAACAAGAGATACAACTAACAGTAGAGGGCGACTTATTCCTTTCTTCTTCACTCGAAGTGTGGAAGTCGATAAGCGGATTTTCATATGAGACTTTCCCAGCGGGCTTCTCCACTTCAGACTTTTCTGCCGACTTCTCTACATGCGAAGCATCATGGTTCTTCTCTGCGAGTGGATTTTCAACAGCCTTCACAAAGTTTGTTTTCTCAACGGAAGCTGCCTCAATTCTTGGAGTTCCAAGAGGTGTTTCTTTAGCTGGCTGATCAGCAATGGCAATGTCACTATTTGGTTGTGCCACCATCGGCTAAACGTAAAGATGGCATCGAATGATATAAGATTCAAACCAAAACGACTCAATAAAAACAGCAAGGCATATAATAAAGCACCCACTGAAGAATACGTATCCTTCTGTTCATTTTCCGTTACAGGGGCTGGGCCACCAAATACTCCCGCTAACTCATCAGCAAGGGAAGCGCCTTCCTTAAAACGGATGTGAGCCTTGGAAGAGAACACATTATGTTAATGAACTTGATTTACCTTATGCGGAGCTGGAATCAACGGCGGCGATGCTATTTCAGCAACTGGAACATTGTCCACGTCCGAAGACTTGGGTACAGGGGAAATGAGCTGAAACTCAATTTTCTAAA